GGTAGTGACCCTGGATGCGCTGATTGGTTGGGTCAAAGGGGGACTTGGTGTGGACCTGGGCCTTGACCTTGTCACACATGATTTCAAGTTCATAGCTGCCTTCTTTGATGTCATGTGTGGAAATGGGGGTGTTGTCAAGACTCCTGATGTACCTGTTGGTCAGAATTAATAAAATGACCCATATTTATTGCTGATGCTGCATGAAGACCAGAAGCAGCACACATTTCTGCTTGAAGATATGCTCTCTCTATATGCTAAAAGCAGAAATGAAGGGTGTGTTCTTACCCATAACCAATACTTTTTCCAAGAGTGAAAGCAAATTCCCCTCTGTACAAGTGTCCCACTGGTTCACCATTCTTCAAAATGGTCTCCAAACCATACAAAGGTCTTTTCCTATAGCATAGAGGAAAATAATTGAGTCACATCCCAGCAAATAAGATCACTGAAAAGTGAGAACCAAAATTAACTATAGTTACTCATCAATGGTGAAGCAGGCTATGCGTTTGAGGACACCAGCTTTTTTCTGATGCAGGTGTTACCCAGACGGATCTTTCAGACATAGTCAAAAGTCAAACGTCCACTTCCGATTTGGACGAAGTACACCTCACCACAGGTCAGAACGTAGACGTACGGTTACAGACTTGGGAAATTCTATTAGAAATGTCACCCATCTTCAGCAGTTAAATGCATTATACATAGGGGATGTATTTCTGCATATTTATGGAGTTATAAGATGCTGTAGTGTATTACACAAGATGCATCCACCATTGTGCCCTTGAGTTTTTCAAAAAGTGTTTTGCCAGCGTGTGTGAAATTTTTGACAGCAGAATAAATTCATCACAAGTAGCAATAAAGTCTGTTATCTTCATCTGAAATTTTGGAAAGACAATGGACTTGAAATTATCTGATGAACAATAAAATTTTCTTCTCATTACATGTCAGAAAAATTTTCATGCGTAGAAATAAATTAATTTTTCATTTTGAGAAATATTTCTTCAAGCCCACCTTCCTGATTTTTGAAGACATTCCACAAAAGCTGCTTAAATGGTTCTGACTTAAATTTTTGCCAAAAACAGCACTTTTTGAACACCTGTTCTAAAGTCTTATTTCAGAGCAAGAAAACTTTTTTGAGTTGGCAAACATTTTATGAAACTTTGCACATCCACACTAATTTTTTGTGGGTGAAAATTTGCTGGTCTGTGGGCCCAAAAATTTTTGGTAACACTGATTCAGAATACTGCACCTTTTTCAATGCTGAGACAATCAAGGGCTCTGTAACCAGCATTGGCAATGCCAAATGGTTTGCCAGCTGCCATGACAGCATGGTAGACTTGCACTGCAGACTCATTTGGCACATGCAGCTCCCAGCCAAGTTCTCCTGCAAATGTCAGCCTCAACAGCCTTACCAACCTGCCAGCCACAGTGGCTATCTTGTTTGTGGAGAATGGGAAGTTGTCATTGGACAGGTCAACATCCACCAGCTTTTGCAGAATGTCTCGGCTAATAAGAAAACAAAATTGCATACTTGGAGGCAATCCAGATGATGAAAAAGAAGTTAAACTTGAAAGCTTTCTCATTTGACCTCTCTCTGGGAATTTTAACTGCAAATCTTTGAGTATACAGTATTTGGCTTGAATTATAATCTGTGATACCAATTCAAATTTTGGCAGAGATGCATTTTGAAAAGAAAAACACTTGTGTTTTGCAAACCTTTTTGGCCCTTGAAGAGAAATCAGAGCCATGTCATTGGTGGCATTGTGAACTTGAACATCAAATTTCTGCTGTCTGACCACTGACATGATGTGACTGAGGGCCTGGTTCCAAGAGCCACCTCCAGCAGCCACATAAAAACCAGGGCCCTGTGAAATGAATTGGCACTTGCTATTGTTCCTTTCTGTGATTTGGGAAAATCTTGTGTTGCAGAAATGGCACCTGAAATTTGGGCTCACAGGGCAACAGTTGACTATTGTCCAAGACTGAGACAGTCAAGTCAGACTCAATGCCTCCTCTGGGATTCAGCATGCAAGAATAGATGCTTGTTCCAGGCTGCCTCTGAACATTGTTGGTGAACACATAGTCTGCACATTTCTGAGCATCAGGGCCAGACAAGTAGAACTTGCCAAAGTAGGACATGTCAAACACTGCTGCTGAAGTCCTGCATGCTTTGCATTGCTCTGCAATCTTTGCAAAAAGATAATTTTTTCAAATGTCCATCATCACAACCAATTGAGCATCTTCTGAATTTCCTTCATTTAACAAAAGTTTCTGCATCCAAAAAAATTATTGAACCTTGGTAAGTCAAATTTCTAGGGACCAGCAGGAAAGAAATTAAACTCAGGGAGGTTTTGCTCTTTGGAGGTTTCCAGTTAAGGAAACAATCACTTTTGTTGGGAGGAGAATTGAAAAGTGTGGGAAATTGTAGATGAGGAATTTCTGGGCCTAAACTTGCTCCTTAATGAGTTCACACCTTGCTGAACTTGGAGGAAGGGGTTCATTTGCTCCATCAGTCTTTTGCTTTATTTCAAGATGTATCAAATCTCCTCCATATTATTTAAGGAAATAATAAACAGAAGGCCTCAGAAAATTAAACTTACAGAAGTTTCAGAAAAAAATATTAACTTCAAAATGGAGGTTTTTAATGCATTGATGCCAAGGGAATTCAGACAGGGACTTTAAAAAAATTGACTTACGGAGGTTCACCCGTATCTGCCAAATTTTCTTTTGCAAAATTTATATACTGGTATTTTTGAAGTTGGTGCATATTTATATTGACATCACATGCATTGAATGTTTAGATTTCAGCAGAAAAATAAAAATACTAAAGCTTTCTGCTCAAGACTAATTCAGTTTGCAACCGTTTTGACATATTCCTAGAAAATAACACAAATTTCCACTGTATTTGTTCCAGGAATGAAAGCATTTGATTTTCACATCAGTTGATATATTTTGGTTATGTAGAATCTGTAAGAAAACAGTCAGCCAAATTGTAATATGTGCAAAAGTTTGAATTGAAGAGCATTGCTTATAATTGCTCTGTAAACAAGAGTTCATATCCTCAAAATATCTCATTCTGATGCAATCATTCATGAACTCTTCTCTGACTATAGTTACACATGGTCCTTTTAAATGAAAACATGTCAAAGATTGTGTACAAGTGATGCTATTCATCATTCAGTGAGGAATGCTCTTTCAATACCTGCTTGTGATGAGGAGGGAAATCAAAGGTGTAATCAGACCCCAGCAGGTCCTTGTACACATAATTGGCATGTTTGGGAATTTGGTAACTCCCATAATAGTCATAGTCCAATGGAGGAGCCATTGTTCCTGGTAAGAACCAACCAGGGCGCTCAAACCCTTGTCTGTCTTGGTAGACACAACCTTGAGACAATAAGGTCTGGAAATGGGAGGAAAATGCTGTTTTTTTTGTGTGCACCAGATTATGAATCCAGCACTCACTTCATACAAAGGTCCCTTGTTGGCATTCCTGCCTGCAAGGGGTTCATCATGAGGGAACACTATGGAGTAGTTTTTGGCATAAGCCTCATGACTTCTTTCTGTCACCCACTTTCTGTTCCTGATCAGATTTGGATGAAAGCGCCTGCCAATATAAAATAAATTATGATAATTTGATCTTTTCAAAGGTATTTGACTGTTCACATTGTGACCTCTTGATTTTCAACTTATTGCATGGCTTTTTCAAATTGATAAAGAGATGGAGAACATTAAATGTGTGGATCAATTTTAAAATACCTCCAAAATTTGCACGCTCTGTACAAATGAAGCGTCAAAATAGGAAAATAAATATTTGCAGCAATGAGATGAAAAGCTTTTTCTGTGCGCAGAAATATAATTTCATTGCCATGTTACAGTGAAAAGGATACTTCCAAAAAAACTACAAATTTACATCTGGTCAAAACTGAAAAAAATAAAAAAACTGTTCACATCAACTACAGGACAATAGAAATGGTTGATACCACATGAGTCTATGAAGATTTTTCAACATGTTTAAAGAGAAAATCCAGCAGTTTTTTTCCTTCAAAAGTGCTCACTACATTGATGGCAATTTAATACACTATATACCTGATGTCATAGCCAAACATATCAAGGGATGGTCTACCCTGGATCACCCACTCAGCCAATTGCCATCCACAGCCACCACCAAGCATCATTCCAGCAGAGTTCATGGCACAACCATGGTAAAAACCTTGCAGTCCAGGATCTTCACCTATTTATTCAAGGGAAATAATAATATGAAAAGAAGGTTGTTGTCCAATTATCCACATAGAAGTACAACTTCTTAAAAAACAAATGCATAGATGATGCATTTCACATATAAACTTGAAAAACTATTATTAAAAATGCAGCGTTTTGAGTGGAAGTCTTACTAAATGCTTACAAGGATTCCTGAGAAATAACCTCATCAATAGGGCTTGGATTAATTCTGGGGATTTATCCAGAGAGGAGGATCTATTTATAAGCTTGGAGGAATTGAAAGCAACCAATATTCCTCATGAGTTCTAAGTCTTATGAATACATGGTTAACACAGTGCATCCAAATATATGTATGCATTGTACAGCATTCATTCAAGAGATATTTTCTCTTGGATTTCACATTTGAAGATAAGTAGTTGCATACATCATGAATCACTGTCAAGAATTGAAAGAAAAGTATATATCCTTCACTTGAAGAAAAGGTGTCACACACAAATGCAGGTGATGCTAACATAAGTGCATTAAAACAATGAAACAACTGCAAGGGGGAAAACAGGGTCTTTCTCCTTAAAGAGTAAGAAGGCAATTATAATGAGGGGAAAAATCCTTGAAGCAAGTGTAAATGTTTCTGTAGGTTAACAAACTTTAGAAAAGATATATATGTAGCTCTTTGGGTTCCTGATACTCACCCATGATGGGCTTGTGATCAGGTGTGAAAGACTCAGGGCCACAAACTGTGGACTTGATCCCAGTGGCTTCAACCACTGGCACCCTGTTGATGGCACCCTTGATGTGACACCCAAATACATCCCAGTCCAGTTCATAGAGGCTGAATGCAAAATCATCTCCCAACTGGAAATGTGAAAATAATATTTGAAAGCAACAAAATAATATCAGATGAAGGGGGGGCTTTTTGAAACTTTCAAAACACAACCTGCTCAAGAAACACTGGGTGTTCTTCATAACCACCCAGTGCCAAGGCATCACCCTGTAACTTCATGTACACTGAAGAGTCATGGTCTCTGACATTGGGCATGTTTTGGATGCCCTCAATCCTTTCTGTGAGCACATAGGCATGCTTCATGGCTGTCAAAGGTACTGCTACACCAGCAAGATCTCCAATTTTGGGAGCCCAAGCTCCTGTAATATTGTTGCAAATGAACACCATTTTAGACAACACTGATCATTGATAATTAATGGGGACTAAACACCTGAGCAATTGATGACACATTCTGTCTTGACAGAACCCAAGTTGGTGTCAACCCTTGAGACTTTCCTTCCACCTGCCCAAGATTCTGTGGTTTGGATCCCAGTCAATGAACAACTCTCATACACCTACAGAAAAAAAATCCTCAAGATGCAATGATATTGCACAATTTCAGCTAAAATTTGGATGAATTTGTCAAGGGGATATAGATTGAAGAACAAATTCACACAACATCTTTCCCATAATCCTTCAAAGTTTAATTCTTATAAAACTTAAGGATATTTAAAAAAGCAGGACAGTGTTTCCAATCATCCAAAAATTCTTGTGAATCCTTGCATTTTACTTTTAAAAATTCATAAAGGTTAAGCACTTCAGTACCCACAATTACTTTACAATTCTTGTTTTTCAAGGGAAGAGATAGAAAGAATCTTTCATAGTTGTAATTCCTAGTTTCCTAACACATAATCAAATCTTTTTTTTTCTAGCAGTCCAATAAGTGATGCCAAATATTTCAGATGATTCATAAATCTTGCCATTGACTTTTGATTTATGTGTGCTGGGGAAGATTAATGTGAGGATGTCCTAAAAAAGGTCAATTGATGGTTGTCCAAAATTGGACAACCATCCATTGACAGATTCTCCAATACATTCATGAGTGACTTGAGTCAGATTAGAATGAACAGAGACTTGTTTATAGTATAATCTTACAATATGGATTATGCTGGGAGTACTCCAACAACTTCACTTATTCAAGGCACACTATTGTACAGTTTGAAATACAGTGGCCCCCCACCTAACAGACCTCCCGTGTAAGGGATTTTTGCCAAACAGACCAGCTTTGCAAGCAGTTTTTCCTCCTGCCCAACAGACGAAATCCGCCAAACAGACTTCTTTTGGTTTGAAATTAGTGTTGAAAATTGAAATTTTTAATTTTTTATGTAATTGAATTCGTGTAAAGGACTTTTTGTCTAACAGACTCGTCCCTTGCACAAATCAAGTCCGTTAGACGGGGGTTGACTGTACACCTCATTCAGGATTATTCTGCCAACATATACTGATCCATATGTCAGAGACTGACCTGAGCACCCTTGCCCTTGGCAGCCCTGGTGAGTGCCTGACAGTAGCCAGCAGGGTCAATAGTCCCATCCCCAGGGGAATACAATGTCCCATAGACATCCTCCACATTCATCAGGGGATACAGTCTCTTGGTCTCCTCAGGAGTCAGGACATGACTGACAACCCCAAAGTCATGGCCTATGGTTTTCAGGCGCTTGTATTCATCCAATCTGGGCTACAGCATAACAGTTCATTCATCAACCAAATCATCCAACAACAAGGATATCTTCAAGGAATGTTTTGCATAATTGTTGGAGAAAGAAGAATGCAAATGAGGGTGAAACCTTGGAGGAGGCAATGAACAAGCCTCCATTTTCAATCCAACCAGGGGCTACTCCAGTTTCCTGCTCCAGACCTTTGATCAGGTTTCTCCCATGTGCCAAGAGCTGGATTTCTGTATCACTTGGCCTCAATCTCCACAAAAGCCCTATAGTTAAAACAAGCACAAGACTTGTACATATATATGCTGTCTGATACCAGATACAGTTTTTTTTTTCAAACAGGTGTCCTTCAAAAAAAAAAAACAACAACTGAATTGTTGTTCACTTGAGGCTCACAAAAACAAGAGACTTTGATTACCTGCAGTGTGCCAAGTTGTACCAGCTGTCAAGGAGTGCTTCTCCAGCAGAATAACATTTGTCATACCCAGTTTTGTCAGGTGATACAAGGTGTTGCACCCTATGCTTCCACCGCCTGAATAATTTTTAAAATAATTGCACATTTTGGTTATATTTTTGTGTTATGCTGATGGTAACATGCACTTGAAGAGAAGATCTTCATCTTTACAAGAATGTTTTAAAAACTATAAGACATTTAGGCTGATGGGTGTTTTATTTGTTTATTCCACTGAAAATGATTAGTTCAGGGTGCTGCTTTGTTCATGATGAATGGATTTATGCTTCCATTCATTCCAGGCAATATTCAGACACTTCCTTTTAAGCATAGTGAAACATTTCCACAATGATTTAATTTCAAAAGTTGAGTTTTACACACAATGAAATAAAATATAACCTAATGAGCCATTTCATGATGTACAGTAAATTCTGTGGATCATTTGTTTCAAGAAAAAGTAGAACTATACTGTATTAAAAATGTAGAAGAAACTAACTGGATTAATGCAAACAAAAACCAAATGTTCTCATTCATATGTTGGAAAGATATATCAAAGTTGAGTATTCCAGAAGATATTTCTCCATGCGCATGAGTTTTAAAAATGTTGAAAACCATGAGAGGAACACTTGTTGACAAAAGCATTTTTTCAGAACAGTAAATTTACGTTTGAAATTATGCTGATATATACAGCATACACAGCATTTGAGAGGAAACTACCAGAGCTCTCATAGTACAGTATTCATACTGTATTGATAAGCCAAAATGATGGTGAAAGTTAAAAATAAAAAATGAAGTTTTTTCTACTCACCAATTATCACAGCATCTGCGGTTTCTGGCAAACCTTGTTGAAGACCAGCAGCAGAGGCGAAGTTCCTTGATGCCCACTTCAGGCGATTTCTCGCGGCGAGCAACAAGCGCGACATCTCTACACTGGCAACACCCCACACGGCATTAGCAAATCGAACTCAACCTGGAGTAGGTGTCGCTCGTGATCCAAAAACCACACGTATACACATCACAGCGTCAACCCCGTCGCAATAACCGCGATTCCCTCTTCCGCGCAGTTGCACCACTGAATGCGATTCACCACTACTACTGAAGTCTGTCAAGTGGAAAACAGCGCACCCGAACTGAAAACCCGCGTTTCGTGGGCTCGTGACTCGAGTTGTTTACGTCCTGATCCGGAAATACAGGGTTGCTTTAAAGAAGGAAATGTGCCACTAGTATGATAGAGGATATAGATATGGATTATCGATACGGCAAATGAAAACTGGAAACCGATGTTGTTTTTTCGCCTTCTCGTCTGCGCGATCGTTTCCTGTATTCTTCGTTCATCAGCTGATGCTGGTTAAAGAATCAACTTCGCGACTGGCAACTGAATCCAT